AGGCATCGAGTTGCCAACAAATGAGGACTTCCAGATAGGCCTAGTTCCACGACTCACGGTTAACTCTTAACCGAGGTTTAACTTATTCATTGTCTCGTTCCAATTTTAGAATTGGAAAGAGATGAGAAACAAGTTGAACTTCGGTTAAGAGTTAACCGTGAGTCGTGGAACTGGGCCTTGGCGAGCAACTAAACAGACACGTTGCTATCTAGGTACGTTAAACGATTGGAAAGCACCCCATGTAAAGGTACCATTACGTAGGAACGTCGAGCATTGTGAGCTTACTATTCGCTAAAAAGGGGCTACAAGGGATAAGGAATAAAGAATAAGAATTTCAACCTATCGGAAACTGTCTATTGTTACGTCCCGGGGTTCTTTCGGCGAGTAACCGAGGTTCGAATTAACCCGAGACTACTACGGTAGTATGAAGGTAAAATTTGAGGTAGTGGAGTGGCTAATTAACTTGTCCAATTTATTTGTTATTAATTAGAGTTGTGCGCTCGATACAGTGATGATAGTAGATTCTGGGGAGGTCCAGGATGTATCATCTGTCCTACCTAAATATGAGAGGAACCTTTCTAATATTTCCGGGCAATCGCGACAATTCGACACGTGATGCACGTTAGCTATCGACACGGAACATGCGTCCCAATTTTCAAACCGTCCTTCAGGAAATCCTAAGTGGATGTAATGTCGTAACACGCCGAGATATTTACTCTTTTCGGAGGCCGAAAGCAAGGTGTAACATTCTGGGCACTTAATTCCGCTACTTTCGTTATCTCGATAAAACAGTGATGATGCGCAACAGGCGCTCCGTACCCATGTAACGTAAGGATCTATTCTCAACTGGCGACGAGAAATAGCCAATTGCTGGTGCGGGTGTATCAGGCACATGCTACGCGGGATCGGATTCGCGTGTGACCGAAATAGATTAATTAATAATTTCTTACCTTTTTTTATGAAGTTCTGGGTGGCGATGACGAGTGAGAGGATGAGTGCGAGCGGCTTCCAATTTCCCTAGTGTCTCAGCTCTGCCATTGGTTCTCCCGAGTCCGTGGTGATTGATTTGCGGTTTATTAACACGCGACCGAGTTTCATTAGTTAAAGTGTTCGTATAATTCAACGCGACGGATTATGGAGAACAGGTTTTATTCAGAGATTTTTTACTCGGATTTAACAAACCACATGAATTTATTATTTGTAGTTTCGTACACAATCAAAGGTTACACATTTTGGCTTAATATTAAGGATGATTTACATTAACGCGGGAATTGAATTACGCTTAAAATTTAGAATTAGAATTACTCTAGAACTTGAGTGAAGAATTTGAAACGTGCACGCGACACGTCAGAGCTTAAGGTCAATGGTTTACATGTCCTCGGAGGTACTCTAGACCGAACTCGCGACTCTAAGACTGTTACTTAACGACTGCCTTTATTTTAGTGCCCTGAGGGCAAATTTTAAGGGCGTCCTCTTCCATCGTTGCTCCGCTGAGGCACGCATGGTGGGGAAGGCGTCAGGTACGGTCCTGGCGG